AGGTGGTAGTGGTGTCTGCTCTTACCAGCACCACTAACACTGTAAGGAGCGTTGTTTTAACCAAAAAAAAAAAAAAAAAAAAAAAAAATCCCTGCCAGGATGCACCTACATGCAATTGGGACAACAATGAGCTGTTGAAATGCAGATCTGAGTTCGAACGAACCCAGGTGGGACAAGGTGAATGGGAAAAAAAAACAAAAAACTCACTTAGGGTGTACTTACACTAGCACTATCTTAAATTCATCTGAAGTTCTGAACCCATTTACGGCCGGACCTGTATGCATCGGGCCGCAATTCCGTCCAGAAATAAGGTAAAAAGCCCTAGTGTGAGTATGCGCTTACCTGGGGCTGGCAAGCTGAACAGTGCCGCGGTGGTATTTCAAGCCCGTTGCCCTTGTCAACGTCCTGTACGACATCCGTTACAAATGGAATGATACAGAGTAGATTTGCATGCCCTGTGCACAAAGGATGTAAACGTCCTATGGGATATCCGGTACGATGGGAACAATACAGAGGAGATTTGCATGCCCCCTGTGCAAGGATGACACGTGTAAATTGGCAAATGGTTGTGAAAAAAAAAGACTGCACCTGACGTGCAGGATCTCAAGTGCATCCCGACTTATGCTACCTGACGCGCAGGATATCCGTTTACCTTGTTGCACATCTTTGGTGTAAGATGTGACCTCAGTAACTTGAAGGACCGTCTCTGTGGGACGCCGGGCGTGGTTCTCGCAACTTCCCGACTCATGCTACTCCGCACGAATAAGATTGGAGCCATCAACCCTGGGAGCTCTACTGCGGGCATGGGCTCCTATCCCTGTCGGCAGTAGGAGCTCTCCCATCTGATGTAGTGTCCAAAAAAAAAAAAAAAAAAAAAAAAAAAAAAAANNNNGAGAGAGAGAGAGAGAGAGAGAGAGAGAGAGAGAGAGAGAGAGAGAGAGAGAGAGAGAGAGAGAGAAGAGAACAGGTAAGTCCAACCTTGCGGCTGACCTCATGGAACTTCCATCGATAAGATGGGCAAAATCGTATGAATCTACCGCTAGAACATGGAAACAAACACTGCCGCACATGTTTGTTTGTTTGTGTGTGTGTGTGTGGGGGGGGGGGGGTGGTTACATCCTCCCTTCTAGGCTCTTCTGGCTGCACAGAAGGAATCAAAGTACACCTCAGGCTTACGCGTGGGTGGTTGGGCACGCCTAAGTGCTGTGGGCCCGGTCTAGTATCTGAATTGGGCCTGGGTGCGGATCACAGGGCCCGGAGTGAAGCTACTGGGCACAGGTCCACCCAGCCCGGAAGCTTCCAGGCCCTGTGAAGCAATTGCCCGCGCCACTGTCATGCAGCAGCGTGGCCGCGTCAATGCTGTGCCTGGCTGCGTGCTGGAAATTCGGGCACTTGGCATTGACGCGGCCGCGCTGCTACGTGGAGCGCTCGCTGCTGGCAATAGCGCAGGTGCATGACCGCGCACACGGCCACGAGGTGGTGTTGGGCGCTGCTTGCAAGCAGCGACAGAGCCCAGCCGCCATAGCCAGGCTGGGGCTCAAGGGAAGATCAGCGGGGAGAGGCAGTGGTCCTCGGTTGGAGGAGCGTGTGGGGGAAAAAAAGAGAAGGGAGAGCGTGAGAGAGTGAGAGGAGGAGTGCTGTGAGAGCACATACCTGGTCCTGGCGGAGGTCTGCGTGGTCGACATCTGCATGTACTACTTCGGTTGCTGCTGCTGACGTCAACTGGTTGCTTTGTCATTTTGCTAGGCTAGGGCAAACTGGACAGTAGCTGTATGATAGTAGTCTGGGCGCTGGGTGCCGATAGGAGGAAGAGCTTTGTGCACATTGTTGGCGGCGGCGAGAGAGGGATCTTATTGACAATTGAGTTCGCTGCTTTGGTTCGCCTTCCGTGTGATTTCAGTGGATTTTCTGCTTTTCCGGACAGCTCGCGACTATCTGGCATTCAATGTGACTTTGCAATCTGGAATCGTTCTGTCCTTTTTTTTTTTTTTTTTTTTTTTTTTGCAAGGTAAGGAAAAGAAAGAAGAGCAATCCAGTGACGACAACCGTTGAGGCCCTAGTTCAGTACCACTAGTACTTGGCCTGGCTAGCTTGAGAATCACGATTGAGTCACTCTGAAAGTTTCGGACTTCGGGGAAGGCCCGGTAGCACGACAAGGGGAGGAAGATGGTGGGCCCAAGGAAAAGGGGCGTGCATGTGGAAACAGATGCACAGACACAGAAGCTGCAGAATGGCCTGCCGTGCTGGCAGGGCTCAATCTGGGAAAAAAAAAGAAACCAAAGCTGAGATTATGCATCTAACTGCAATTATGGCCAGGCCTGGATGGATCTGAAAGCAATCACATCCAGAGCTTAGGAGGAAAAGTCCCAGTTTGAGTATGCCCTTTCCCAAGTCACTTCCCGCATGAGAGGCGGGGTCCCGGAGGAATCCAACACCGTGTCAGCCTGTTGCTTTTCTGGGCATACTCACGCCCACAGTTTCCTGATGTATCTGACAGCACTCGTGACCAGGGCCTGATGAATCTGACGGCAATCACAGACATGCTCCACTGGAAATACTTTGGAGAACTTCCCTAATTTATTTAAGTGCGCCACAATGCCTGTGGTGAAAGTCCGTGTCCGTCCCGGTCGTCCATTCCCCGCCCCTACGACCTGCAGGCGCGCACTTTCTATAGGGCGTAATGGCGATGGCCAAGTGGAGGGTGTCCACGGATGTCGCTCCGCAATTGGCAAGTCTAAGGGCACGATGAAGTTGGCGCATACCCACCTCCACAGACAAATGAACTGACGTAGTTGGAACCGGGCCCTTCACTCCTTTTACCATGCGTTCCGATGCAGGACTGTTTAACGGCCACTTCAGGGAGGGACAGGACCGGAACCGCAGACTGTAGCGCAGGCACGCGCTCCCCACATACTTTTGTCCCTCCTTGCCACTCGATGGCTGACCCAGGAACCATGACGGTCATACCCCCGAGGAGAGAGGAATGCAGGACGCTTTCCTTTTATGGAAAGCAGCGGTCGGATTTCCGCGGGTGGGTAGCCTGAAGTCCGGACTGCGCACCAAAACGCAGCCGCGGTGGGGTCCCTCGTTGGAGTCTTCCAGCGCCAGCCGTGGGTGGGTCCCCGGCTGCGTGGCCGCCATGCTGTGGGGTCCAGGACTTTGTCAAAAACAGGAGTCCAAGGTGCAGCAGGAGGCTTGGAGGCTGAAGGGCTGGTTGATCCTACACAAATCATAGCTATTCTGGGTATTCCAAGCATTCTCTGCATTTGTTCATCATGAATTGTTGTGTGGGGCGCTGGACCCGATTTCCAGCAGGTGCAGCTCCCCACCAATAGACTGGAGCCGTCTATAGGTCTGATGAAGGTGTCTGCCCTTACTCACTAAACTTGCACATTTTGAAACTCACACCATGACACCAGGGGTACTTTGTCTTTTCTTGCCTATTTCAAACTAAAAGTGTGTCACAGCTAGTTTCCGCTCCTAAAAAAAAAAGTGTAAGCCCAACCCCCTTCGTTGCTACTCCGATGGGCCAACTCCAATGGCACAACACTGTCATCTCAGGGGTGTTGCCTGAGCGAACGGCTGTTGCGTCACTGATGGCACTGTAGCATATACGTGGCAGAAGAGATCGCCCTCTACGTCCCCTAATCTAATGACCGTACAGTGCGGATCTCGACAGGGGGGAACGTGCTAAGCTGAAAAACACGGAAAAGGTGGCGGGCACATTGTCAACAGGAAAGTAGGGAAATTTTGATGGACCCTCCAATGCTTTGGGGAGTTTCCCCAAAGTACAACTGAAGTCATATTTGAGTTTTGATTTCATTACAACTTTGGTTACCTGCGGATTGCCCTGAATCTTGGATTGTTCCTCAGTGTGCCGAATTTCAAGAATTCGGTGGACCAAGATTCACAGGGTTCCCAGCAAATAGCCCAGTGGTAAGAGAACTTTAAAGCTCCCCCTGACTCTGCCGAAGAATCTACATCTAGACCTACAGTGAACCATAGGGCCTCGTTAGACCCGCCTTGGAAATCCGATTTTTAGGAAATCGCCGTCGTTACACTGTCCTAATTCACCAAATTCCTTGAACGAATGTGAAAACGCTCCCGAGGGATTTCCTTTGGTTCCTCAAAATACCCAGGCAAAACGTCCTTGGATTGAAGACGTCCTCGCAAGGTCCCTTGGGTTAAAGAAGCCGCGATTGAAGGAGTGTTCTGGAGCGAGCGCCCATGGGAGAAATTGGAGTCGATGTTGGTGCATAGGTCATCCGTGGTCCATTGGGCGGACATCGCCGGTCTCCAATACCCAAAAGGCCGCCAACGGCCTTCCATCATTACCGTTTGTGCGAAAATGTGTGGGGGTGGTTCTTCAGTTGCAAGGCACTTCACGGAGCGGGGTTTTCTGTGTTGCACGTCGCATGCTGTGGTGTCCAGCGGGTCGAATTTGTCAATTTTTGTACAACCGATGTTGAAGCACTGCCGTCCGATTGCAGTCATCTGCGTAGCGTGCTTTGTCGGCTATTGTCGGGTGCGTTGATGCAAGCTTTGTTTGGTACATGCGCCGCGTGCTACGATTCATGGCAGACGTCCTCTGATGGTTCCCGCTCCTGCTGCCAACTGTGACGGGCGTTGTCCGCCGCCTTTATTTTTTTGAGGTGCGGGATCATCCGGTGACATGGTGGGGACGACGTTGCCCCCCCTTTCGGCATCACTTTTGACTGCACGGTGCCAGAGGATGGCAGCACCGATGGCGAACACAAGCGCCCCCGGATCGGACGAAGGTGGCAGGCAGGTGTGAGAGTCATGTCGGAGACAAATGCGTGAAATAAGCGCGGAGAACATAACTAACGGGGTGTCGAGGATGCGTGTGGCAAGTGAAGAAACGAATGCAGAAGACTCGCAACGGGCGAGCGATTACAAATCTCCAGATGTTCTTTGCAAAGAGGAAGCAGAAGACGCAGAGGACATGGAGATTCAACCTGTGCTTGTACGTCGTAGAGGAACGGGTGGAGGTCTGCGTCAAGAGAAGGCTGTTTCCCGTGGTGGTGCCGGTCAAAGGGTCCGGTAGGCGAGAACGGTGGGAAACATTCGTCCTTAAGTGTTGAAGAGATGCTCAAGCGCGCCCGGGCGAAGCGGGATCAACAAGCTCATTTCGAGGGCATGCCGCACAACTACAGACGGATGCGTAACAGGGAATGGAAGCTACAGGACCTGCAAAACCGTTTGTTGGAGGTGGGGGTGAACAGGATGACTGACGACATCGGCAAAAAGTGGGACAACCTCTTCCAACAGTACAAGAAAATGCAACGGTATCAGAACGCATCTGGGGGGAAGAACTTCTTCAACCTGACACCTGCATTGAGAACGAAAGAAGGTCTCTACTTCAGAATGGACGAGTGGATATACGATGAGATCGACGCCATGTCGAAGGGCAACAAGACCATCTACTCGAGCAATGTCGCCAACACGAGCGGCCATGGAGGAGTGCAGATGCCATGTTCCCCTTTCGTTGCTGGAGAATCCGCCGCAGGGGGTGATAGGAACGACGATGACGGATGCTCGATGCGGGAGTCCGACCTCAGTGCAGGCAGCACGGGAGGGAACTGCAAGAGGAAGACCATGCGCCAACATACATTTGACGCCATAGCTGAAGTTATGGAGAAGCATGGCGCATTGATGGCTGAAAGTATCGAGGGGGCCAGCAAGCAACAATGTTCCATTATGGAGCGGCAATGTGACATACTCGAGCGTGAGGTTGATGCCCAACAGCCGCACTACGAGGTGTCTGATGAGGCGAACAGGATGATGTGCACTGTATAGCTGGAGATCGCCAAAGCCATCAGGGATAGGTCCTGATGGCGCCTTTGCTCGTGTGTCTGCCGATATTCTCCCACGGTCGATCGTCCTGTCCGTGCATCCACATGGGTTGCAATCGTTACTTGTTTTGCGTTTGTGCAACAGTGATGCCAGTCGTTCGACACAATTTAGTTCATCGCTCCTGAGTAGATAGGACATGTTTATCTATGTATGTAATACGTACATTTGTGTGTATAATACATATATAGATGTATATATTTTTCATAAGGAGGCAATTGTTGTGATTTCGCTGTCGATGCGGCATGGTTTTTAGACAACGTGTCCGTGTTTGTAGTTTGGGTTGTTGGGGTGGGATCCGTACCTTGCGTGCTTGGTATCTTGGTACGAAGTGGTTTTTGTTCCTTTGTATGGTTATATTTTACAAGTAACTGTGATGGCTGATTTTGAAACTGCGTTGCACAAGCCCCAATCTCTCTCTCTCTCTCTCTCTCTCTCTCTCTCTCTCTCTCTCTCTCTCTCTCTCTCTCTCTCTCTCTCTCTCT